AAAAAAGATGAGGAAAATATATCTCTATTTTCAACTTGAAATCCTCCTACTCCTTCCTCTTATCTGTTATGGAGCACTTTTTAAGGCACTACACAGATGTGAGATTTTTCAAGAAGAGAGAAACACATTAAAAAAAGTTGGTTAAACAGATTTTTATAATCTAGTATGTAGGACTTAGTCTTACAATGGTCAAGGATTTGTAGTATTTTAAGACAGGAGTAGAATATTTCTTTATTCACTAGAAACACCCAAAGATTTTGTGTGAAAAGCAATAAATATTGTTTTGAAAACAAGAATTTTACAGGTAGAGAAGGGGTAGAACAGTATGGATTATGAGAGGGCAGTGGTGTCATTTAAGATCTGGCTACTTCCTAAAAATTTCCTGATCTCCTACCATTCATCTTTTTATCTTACAGAAGCACTATGGGTAAAATGTGTCATCATAATGTGGTTTAGAAGTCCATGCCTATAGAAAAAAACATACCTCCAAGCCCTCATAAATGAACACACAGATTGAATGAATGAACACAAGCATGCACAAACACATACACACAGAATTTTTTTTGGTTTGTTTTTGAACCACATCCAGCAGTGCTGTGGTCTTACTCCTTGCTCTGCTCTCAGGGATCTCTCTGGAGGCCATAAGGCATGCCATGGATCAAACCTGGATCAGCTTGTGCAAGACAAGCAAACTGCCTGCTATCTTGTCTCTCTGGGTCCAAATATTTTTTAAAAAACAAAGTTATAAAGGATTCAAAAGAAAACCATGGTCTGCATCGTTATTTTCTCCTTCTTGACATATAAATTCTGAGAAGTTCCTGCCTATATTTGAGGACAGCTGAAGGAAAAGAACATCTTCTATAAGTGGTTTGCATTTATCTTTTATTGTTTAAAGAAATTAGACAGAGTGGCCTTTATCTACTAAAGAGGAGAATAAGGGAGAACAACAACTTGAGACACATCTAGGGGGAAGAGAGCATTCAAACTCACCCTATTTAATGCTTCTTTCTTCTGTTATCTTGTGAATAACTTCGATGACTATAAATTATGTCTCCCTCCCAACAGAATGGTTCTTAAGTTTTATACCAGCATGTTTTATTAGTATTTTTTTTTGCCAGACTCCTAGCTCTGTGCTCAGGGATCACTCCTGGCAGTGCTCAGGGGACCTTATGTGGTATCAGGGATCAAATCTGGGTTGACTGCATGTAAGGCAAGAGCATAACTTGTTATACTAACTCATCAGTCTCATTAGGTTATGTGCCCATGGAAGTCTGGGATTGTTTTATTAATGAATTGTTCACAATTGGTCAAGGTAAGTTCTATTGGTTAGTTTTTATCATCGAGGGACTGATATACTCTTCCTGTATAGGATCAAATTATTGATTCTCGGTAACCCTGGGGTCTCAGGGATTATAAGTGAAAGAGGAGGTGGTTCTGAGTCTCAACAAATCTTTCATTCTGAAACTAGATATGGGCTAGGATTTGGCTGGAACATTAATATAAAATCCTCTGTTCCGTGGGAAAACTTGAAAATGCTTATTATGCCTAAGACTCCAATTTCTTATTCATGGAAAGATACTGATGATCTACATATAAAAATGAGTGGCAGGAGCCTTCCTGTTCAGAGCAGGCATTAACAATTAATTATGCATTTCCCCCCCACAGGATCATAACTTATTTCCTATCTTCGACACAGTATAAAAGTTTAACTGACTACAACTTATTTTAGCATTCTATGGTATATCTTAACATAAAATTTTGTGATATTTCAATATCAATGCTACGATGCTAGTTTTTAAATATTCTACAGATTTCAAAGTCTAACACCAGCTGAACATGATTTTAGTCTTAAAATGTTGACTAATTCCATGTTATAGCTATATTTTAAAGTCTTTTCCTACAATAAATTGCTAATTTTTCTTTTCATTTGCAGAATCAACTTTTCTGTAATCGAGTCTTTCCCAAGATGAACTATAAAAACTTGGGGGACAATGGGACCCCCAAATATACAGGAATGCTCTTTGAACCACAGGGGCAACAAAACTATCTCATATCACATCCTTTAATTTTACCTCCGAAACTTGTACAGTTCCTTCTGGAATTCAGTCCCCAATGCTTTGACTCCCTCTGCAATTTGCTTCTCCAGGAGATGCTGCTTCTCCTAAGCTAAGTGAGGTAGGTGGGCTCCTCACTACTTCTCCAGACAATATCCTGAGTAAAGTCTCCACTCTTTTGAATTCATGCCTTCAAACTGAACTTCCTATCTATAACCATGGCAGGTCCACCAAGAACTTCAGCCTCATTTCTGGTAGCAATCCTACCACCTCCGTCTTCTTATAAAGAACCCTGCCGTTACCATTACTGTACCCTTTAAGATTTTATCAACTCCTCAAATCCATTTTCATATTTCCTCTATTTGTGTGATAATTTTTTTCCTGAATGACACCTGGCAGTGCTCAGGGCTAATCCCTGGTTCTACTCAGGGATTACTTCTGGAGGGGCTTAAAGCAGCCATATGTTGTGCCAGGGGTTGAACCAGCATTGACTGCACAGGTCAAGCACCTTAGATGCTCTGCTCCTGCCTTGTACAATCATTTTCTTAGACACACTTTTCAACAGTCTTGCCTTGCTGTCTTTGTTTTTTGCTCTCATTTGGTAGAACCCCATCACAGGTAAAAGTAGTTTTCTGCCCTTACTTACCTGTACCACGGAGGTGAATGTGGCCTGGGAGAAACATATAAATAAATCAATTTCTCTTGCAAGTAAAATTCAAGTGAGAGTCTGAACAACCTGCACCATTTTCCCAGTCATTTCGTATTTCTAAATGACACTTTACACTTTCACTTTCCTCTCACTCAGCTGATAACCTTCTTCTACTGAGAAAAATGACAATAACACAAAGCCATCTATATGTTCTCAACAAAAGAGTTAAAAACTGTCTGCATCTATAACTATTTATACTTCTTTCCTTCCTTGGATGGGTGAATTGTCTATCTAAGGTCAATTTAGTGGATTTCTTTTCTACTGGCATATTACTCAGAACATAAAACATGATGTTAGGATAGCAAATAGTTATGATAGAGAAGGGATCACTATGACAATGACAGCTGGAAATCAGTACTCAAGAACTGAGTGCTCATTTGTGGAATATAAGATAATACAACATGAGACTAACACCCAAGGACAGTAGAGATAAGGGCCAGGGAGATTGCTCCATGGTTTGAAGCCTGCCTGATGAACTGGGGGAGAAGGTAGCTGGAATAGAAAAGGGATCACTAAATTGATGATGGTTGGAAGGGATCACACGGGATGGGAGATGTGTGCTGAAAGTTGACTAAGGTCAAAACATGATGACTTCTCAGTATCTGTATTGCAAACTATAATGCCCCAAAGTAGAGAGATAGTATGAGGGAAATTGTCTGCCATAGAGGCAGGGGATGGGTTGGGATATGGGGGGGTGATACTGGCGACATTCGTAGTAGAAAATGTACAATGGTGGCAGGATGGGTGTTTGGTCATTGTAGGACTGAAACTCAAACATGAAGGCTTTGTAACTGTATCTCAAGGCGATTCAAGCACTGTAGCACTGTCCTCCTGTTGTTCATTGATTTGCTTGAGCAGGTACCAGTAACATCTCACAACAAATTGTGAGACTTGTTGTTACTGTTTTTGGCCTATTGAATATGTCACCAGTAGCTTGCTAGACTTTGCCGTGCGGGCAAGATACTCTTGGTAGCTTGCCGGGCTCTCCAAGAGGAGTGGAGGAATTGAACCAGGATCTGCCACGTGCAAGACAAATGCATTACCCACTGTGCTATTGTTCCAGCCCAAGGGGATTCAATAAAAATAAATAAATAAAATAAAATAAAAAAAAGAACTGAGTGCTAAAAGTAGGTAAAGGGGCAAACATGATAATCTTTCAGTACCTGTATTATAAACCATAATGCTCAAACGGGGGAGGGAGAGGTAGAGGGAGAGATAGAGAAAAAGGGAGGGGGATAAAGTGGGGAGAGGGGGAGGGGGAAGGGAGAGAGAAAAGAAAGGAGAAGGAAGGGAGGGGGAGAGGGAGAGAAAGGGAGACAAGAGAGGGAGAGGGAGAAGAGGGGGAGAAAGGGAGAGGGAGAGTGAGAGAGAGGGAGAGGGAGGGGAGAGGGAGAGGGAGAGGGAAAGGAGGAGAAGGGGGGAAGAGGTAGAGGGAGGGGGAGGGGGAGGGGGAGAGAGAGAGGAGAGAGAAGAGAGAGAGAGGAGAGAGAGGAGAGAGAGGAGAGAGAGAGAGAGAGAGAGAGAATAAGAATGAACCTGCCATAGAGGTGGGAGGCTGGGGGTGGGTGCTGGGAAGGAAACTGGAGACACTGGCATTGGGGTGGGAAATGTGCACTGGGGAAGGGATGGGTGTTGGAAGACTGTATGACTGAAACCCAGTCATGAAGAACTTTTTAACTGTGTATCTCATGATTGTTCAATAAATAAACCCATAATGTGATAACTTCTTTAGCGTGGGTCCCACTCAGCTACTACTGTTATATCTCTTCAGAAACATCTTTTCTTTTTGGGGCCACACACAGTGGGGCTCAGGGGACCATATGGGGTGCTGGGGTGGAACCTGGGTCAGCATGTGCAAGGCAAGTCACCCTACCCACTGTCCTATCTCTCCAGCTCAGAACAACATTCATGAACCATTTATCTGTGCTCTTTGCATCCATAACTTCCCGTCACAATTCCGCACCTCTTCTCTTCTCTCTCTCTCTCTCTCTCTCTCTCTCTCTCTCTCTCTCTCTGGCGGGCCATGGCGATGCTCAGGGGTTGTTCCTAGTAATATGGTCAGAAATCACTCCTGGCAGTGCTCAGGGAACTATACGGGATGCTGAGGATCGAATCTGGGTTTGCTATGTGCAAGACAAGTGCTCTGCCTGATATACTATCTCTTCATTCCCCCTCAAGTCCTCTAATTATTCTCATTCCTAGGCAATTTCATGACTTTAAAATAGTCTTTCAATAGCTGTCTAACATGTGCATTGTTATTACTCATGTCTAATAGCAGTACCTGTGTTTTGCATTCAGATCTTGCTATTCACACAAACATCAAAGAAAAACCCTACAATCATTGTTCTGGCCTAGTGTTGTCTCTTAGGAAATAACTACCACTGACCAGCTTCTAAATTTACATACATAAAAAATTTATTATATTTGATTTTAAGTCTAGATATATATTTAGGTTCGCATTGAGCACTGCTTGGGAGCCCCCTTTCAGCACCCCATCAAAAGAGTGATAAAAAAATTTCTGGACTTGGACGGTGGTGCTGGTTCTACAGCTTTTATATTTTGAAAGGGGTGACCATTATGATAGGCCATTTATATCAAGAAAAAATATGAGAGTAAAAACTCTCTGAAAATTCTCTATTCTTTTTTAGTTAATCCAAGAGATTAAGATAAACTCAGTTACATCCCATTTTAATCTTTGCTTCCATTGTTTTCTTGCCTTCATCAAGCCCTTTCTACCACAAACTCTGGTTTTCTTTTTTTTATCATTTGCAACACTGCCTTCTCCTTTATTTCCTATGTTGGTATGTCTGTCAACCACTGAGCCAAAGCTCAAGTCAAAATTCAACATGCTAACTGCTCTTCCCCTGACATCCAGTGACCTTCTTCCTGATCTGTCCAGCCCTTCTCCTCATGTCTACATTATTTTAATATGTTTGACCAAATGGCAATATCAAACACAAAACTGAAATAAAGACTTGAGCTGGTAGATAGTACAACAACTAGGGCACATACCAGGCATGCAGGTTCGATTCCTGACACCACATGTTTCCCTAAGCATTACTAGGTGCAGCCCTGGAGACCCCTGAGCACCACAAGGTGTGTCCCTCTAGGCTCCCCAGGACAGCTCAGGGATGGCTCAGGTATCCCCAGCACTGCAGAGCCAAGCACCCTGGGCCCTTTCATGTCCTGGTTGACTGAGAATTGCTGGTGCTGTTCCCCCACAACCTCCTGAACACTTCTTGGGAGGCCCCCTCCACAAAAAACTAAGAACTGCAAGAAGAACAACATCCCAAAACACAACTCAGAATGTCTCTTCCAATGTGGGACCTTTAAAGACTATCCACTGTACCCATCATCATAAGCACAAATGACACAATCTGCTTTCACTTTTCACATCACCAGGCTCATCTATCTGAGCTTCAGGATCAAGGCACAGAGAACTACTTTATAAACCCAACCCACATCTCTTGATTGCAGGATTCTGAAGATCCTGTGAGCATACACATTTCCTTGCAACTAGGACTCAGCTTAAGGAAATCTTTCTCACCGGGCCAGTACCCCAGGGCACTCAGCCCCATCTCTTTGTACCATACATCATTGAAGTATCATGACACGTTAGTGCCTTAATCCTTCTTTGACTTCTCCCCTCCTTGCGAGGAATGTAATTTCTGCAGCTGCCACCCCACTCTAAGTGCTCAGTAGATCCTGCTTAGATTGATTTCTAGTCCCATGGGATTCACACTTTAGATGCTTTTGCATTGTGCTTTGCAGTGGAGGCTGACTTGGAAGCCCACAGAGAAAGTCCTCAATATTTCTCAATACAGGGGGGTAAAGGGTTGTACCTGGTAAGTCTCGATGGGGCGATTTTCCATGTTGAGATCCCAGACTTTAACGGTTAAATAGTCTCTGGTCATGATATACCTCCCACTGTGGCTGAACTTCACATCCGAAATCGAAGAGATAATTTCAGAGAAAAACGACCTGTTACTTGGATCTTCCGGCTCTTCAAAAACTGTGGAACAAAAAAAAAAAACAAGGTCAGTTCATCCTCATCATTGGATGCTGACATGTTTGGGGTCAGCTAGAAAGTCCAGCATCTTTCTGGGAGCAGGGTTGGTACATGCAGTGTTGGACTTAAGGAAGTAAAAGAGACTGGCAGCCTCCTGGCAGCAGAAAAAGCTGTTATTAGCGTTCATGTTTCTTTTTCTCCCTTCATGGAAGGATGGGAAAACCCTAAAACGTATAGTTTCACTGAGATATATTTCATAACAAGGTTATAACAATGTTCAGTGTATTTTAATATAATTACATACTTGTTCAACCATCACCACAATATAGTTAGACCATTTTCATCAACCAGCTCCCCATGTCCTGCTGACTACATACCTGTTAGCAGTTATTTCCTAGTCTCTAGGTCACTGCTAACCTACATTCTGTTTCAACAGATTTGCCTTTTATGGAAATTTCACATCAATGGACTCACACAACATGTGTCTTTTTGGTGGCTGATTTCTTTCCCTCTTAGTGTATTGTTTTCCTTTGTTGGGGGGTGGTAGGGGCATACCTGAGGGTGGGTGGGCTTTCCATATGCTAGATATGTGCTCTACCATTTGAGCTCTCCTTGTTTTGTAATATTTTCAACTTTCACTTATGTTGTGGCATCTATTGATAATACTTGCCAGGCTAAATTGCCCTACTCTATCAACATTATTGTTGGTGAAAAAGAAGTATTGACAATAGCGAATACATGGTGAGCACCCACAGGCAATCGATTCATCAATTTAACTGATTTCCAGTCAAGGACCAGATTGAAAATCAGATACACTGAACACATGTAAAAGACTATCAGCATAAAGAAAAGTAAAAATCTTACCCCAAATGGCTCATTTCTAATTTAGATGAAGATAGTTTCATATTAATGTGATAAATTAGAGCTTTGTTCCAAAGAACAAATGCTAAAAATCAGACAGACCACAGATGACAGGGCTTCGGAGTATAGATCATTTGGGACTAGAATGATACGTAAGAGATGAGGCATACGTATCAGACCAAATTGTATCAATGAAAAATTTCTATGAGGGATGATAATGATGAAACTGGGAAAAATCAAGACATAATCTACATATCTAATCTGAACCAGGAGCATTAAACATTCAGGTAGGAAAACAGGTTATGGCAGCTTTGATACAAACTGGAAGCCATCCTTGATTCATGTAAGTGGAAATAGAGAAATAATATACTTCTTTATCAAAGAAGTATACACAGAAAAAGAGACTGAGGCCCAGAGAAGCTAAGTAACTTGTCTGGGGTCACACAACTAACAAATGGTATTCTGACCTTAGATGTATGACAGTCATAAGTGCTAAGCTCCACTTAATAAACACCGTAAACTCAAGAGATAGGAAGACAAGTCCACACAGAAACCTGCATGGGAATGTTCATAGCACAAACACAAATTCACATGTTTATCAAATTGTGTTTAATTGCAACAGTGACAGTTAACTAGAGCAATTCAGTCTAAGTTTTAAATTATAATTTTAGGCTAAATTATAAATTTAGCCATTGGGGTGCTGAGTGTATATGTCCCCCCCTCCCCCCAGCTCCCTCTTACTTGCCCGCTTCCTCTGTGCTCTCACAGTGTCAAATTCTACATAGAAGATGGTAGAATGCAATGACTTCTTCAGATCTCGCTGAATGAAACCCACAAACAAAACACTGATTTTCATAGAAAGCACAACTGGCCAAGAAATGAACTTGACAATTAAAACGTAATACCCAAATGAAATAGCAGAAACTGTGCTTATTACAGGGCCTGATTCAATCTTCTCAGTCCATGACCTCATCTCTTAGACTCTTGGATTGAGTATTAATCTTGGAAGGAACTGAATTTTCACATTTCTATTCAATACAATCTGCAAGGACCATGTTCTCAGGAACACTAGGCATACCACTTCAATGAGAGGAGGGGAGCCTGAAGCTTTGTCACCCCTTGCCTCCCCCTCCCCCCAAACATTTGCATGAGGTAGTGAGCATGAAAGATTCAGCAACTCTGGAGTCAATTGACCCCTCAGTCTCTTTAATGCCTTTTTTCTTACATGGTTTTTGATATCAGGGATCAAACTCTGGTCCTGGAATATGCAAGGCATACACTACACCTCTGAGCTGAGCTCCATCCCTTGCCTATTCATTTTATTTTTCACTCTGATATTCAGTAATTCCCAGCTATAGATTGGGGTGCATGGTGCTTGGCTAATAATGCAAACCACTGTTTTAAAAAACCTTGTTAACCTGCCTTACCTCTATACGTCACTGATCAATATTTTTAGAATCTGGGAATGATGACTACTAAAGCCGTAGTCTATTTAAGTAATCAAAAGAATAGTTACTGAGGGGTCTGAGAGACAACTCAATGGGCTGAAATGAATGTTTTGCCCACAGAGGGCTCTGGTTTGATGGTACTAGGTGTGAACTATGAGCACAGAGCCAGGAATAGTTTCTAATCACTGCAGGGTATGAGCCTTCTCCAAAATAAACATAAAGGATGACTGAAATTTAATTTCCTGATACTCAGCAAATATTGGGAAGGGTGAGTAGTGAAGCTCCACTGTAAAGCCTCAAAATGAAACCCAAGGAAGATGGAGGCAACACTAAAAGATAATTCTTAAATCAACCCAGCACTAATTATTTAAGCAGGATATGGTGAGTAAGACATAGAAAAACCAACCAGTACAGCACTTTGCACTTCAGGGATTATCTATCCAGATCCAATGTACAACAGCAGCTCCACGATTCTTTTTATTCAGCAAAAGAATGTAAGAATACCATGATTAATGTTTATGGGAAGTGAATATCTTAAGCCCCTTTCTTTTCATATTTTATGTAATTTAATCCTTCAGACAATTGCATGGCATAGGGACTATGAATCCATATTTTTATAGAAGTGAAAAATAAAGCACAGAGAGGTTTTGTAACCTGTCAAAGTATACATAGCTAGACTGAGGTAGAGCTGCTTTTTTTTTTTTTTGGTTTTCGTTTTTGGGCATCACTTGGAGGTACTCAGGAGTTCTCCTGGTTCTGCACTCAGGAATTATTCCTGGCAGTGCTCAGGGGACCATCTGGGATGCAGGGGATCCAACATAAGTCAGCCAAGACAAACTTCCTTCCCTCTGTACTATCGCTCTGGTCCCTGGTTTACTTTTTGGGGCCATATCCAGCAGTGCCTAGGACTTATTTCTGGATCCTTGCTCAGTGGTCACTCCTGGTGGTGCCCAGCAAACCGTGTGTAGTGCTAGGATCAAATCAGGAACAGTTGCATGCAAGGCAAGAGTCTTAACCCAATACTATCTCTCCAGCCCAGAGCTACATTTTGAACTTCAGATCTGACATCAAGGTTTTTAAAATGTTTTATAC